TAGTTGGTAGACTATCACAATAATACCAAAGCTTATTTGTTTAATCCTTCAAAAAAATAAATTCTAAGATATTAGTCATCAATCAGATCAAGATACAGAGCTTCATGTAATTTTTAATTTTCTATCTCATGTAATTTTACATGATATGTGTTGAAAGAACAAGGCTTATTTCAAATGTACACCATTCTAAAGATACAATGGGGAAAAAATAAAGGTAGTTTCAAACTCTTCAATAAATTTAAAAATAAATAAATGTTTTTCCAATCTCTTTTCTATGCTAAATGTGTGTTATTATAAACTCAACACTTAATAGTTAACTTTTTTTGGCAGTACAGGGGTTTGAACTCAGGGCCTTGTGCTTGCTAGATAGGCGTTCTATCACTTGAGCCGCGCCCCTTGCTGCATTTAAAGAGCCCCAGAAACTAAAGTTCTGGAAAGTTTACTGATATCACATTCTTTATACTAAGCATGACAATAAACCCAGCAGAAAAAAATCAAACTCCTGCTTCAATCACTGGCAAATTAATAGTTAACAATATAAATAAATTGGATCACACATTTTTTGAGATTAAGTAGGCAATGCTTTTAAAAGGAAAAAAAGAGGTTTTAAAAATGCAAATAGTCATTAGTTATCTCTTTATTACCTGTAGAGGGCACTCAAGTCCCTTGAAGATAAAGGTAAAAATTTTAAGAGGGATAACAGTTTACAAATTTCCATCATCATTAGTATTTACTAAACAACCAAATTTTAACAGAAAATATCATCTAAAAGAGAACACTTAAACAGTTTGACCTTAAACATTTAATATATTTTTTGATATGCAAGTTTTCACTTCCAACTGGAAAACCCATCAGCAGGTGGTTTCCAGTCCTGAATACTGGGCAATCTGTAAATGCTTGTGCATCAATACTAACACTGCACTGACAGAAATTACACAAATTAGCCAAGTCTTTACAGACATCAATCTGAACCTGAGAGCAACCTCGTTATAAGGCAGGAAGCTAAGGACACAGTTATGCCATTGTACTACTCCAGGCTACACATGGATAATGTTGTGTCTATAAAATAGTTGAAGAAAATTAGAAGCTAGTTGAAGACTTCATCTCCTGAGAGTGTAACAACTCTGTATAATTAATCTCATGAGATTTTCATTTTAATGAATATCTTCATTATTATTAACTAACATTGTGTTTGAAGGGAAGATATTTGAATATTTGACTTTAAAACATTCTTTCTTCCTCTGATATGATACTGAGATGTTTTACAGGGAAACTTGCCAACTGAGACACACTAGCATTGCATACATTACATAAATACACACACTCATACACGTATGTTGAATATAAATATATTCTATGATGGCATATTTTAAAACCTACTGTAGCATTTTACTAACTAAATATTTATTGCATGGAGAAGTCATTTAAAAAAAACTAGTTTCTTAGCAACATAATGATGGGATCCTGACCTCTAATACCATGTATTGCAAATTGCTACTATATAACAACAGCAACTATAAAACATTTAAAAAATCTGTTTATAAAAGCAAAACTAATAAAAATATAATCTTAAAAAACTTATTACAAAAATTATATATGCATATATATGTATACATATAAAATATCTTGAAGTATACTTGAGAAACATTCTCTCACTCAACACCTTGCAAAATACTGACATTGATACTGAAAATAGTTTTAAAAAGTGAATCTTTGAGAAACCTAGCATGAAATTAAATTTTCTCAAAAATTTTAAATTTAAATTTTTTTCTCAAAATTCCAGAGTATTTCAAATTTTAAATTTATAGAAGAGGTATCCAGATAAATAAAAAGCCAGAAAACATATAAAATAATGATTTTGAAGTATTTTGGTAATGATAACATTTACCTTTTTATGGAAAAAAACCTTCCTTCTGAAAATGAATGCAGTTATTCTTTTAATGGGACTATAACAAGTTATTTCCTTAGGAAAGGAAAAGCAAAGCTCTGAAATCAGAAGTTTTAAGATGCACAATTGTATACAACATGTTTCCCCAACCTGGATTTCTTTAGCACAGAGCATGACATGTTCTAATGGTGGTGGAGATGAGCAGAAATCGTGCAGTTTATGCTTCATTTTGTAAAAATATGGACCCCTTCACAAATTTACATGTCATCCTTGCACAGGGGCCATGCTAATCTTCTCTGTATTGTTCCAATTTCAGTGTATGTGCTGCTGAAGCGAGCACGAAACTGTGCAGTTTAATAAAGCAGAAGCATTTCTCAACCTAAATTGTAGCTGCTCTGATTTTGTGTTATCTCAGGACCAGTAAGTATACACTCTATTACATGAAACAAAACAAGAAGCCATACTTGGGATGTAGTCTTTGTTTTTTTCTTTCTTCAAAGACTGTTTTCTAATATTATTGTTAGGCAAAACAAAAAGAAATGTTTGTTCTATTACGTAAGAAATAAACTTCATTTGGTATTCAATTGACTTTCAAACTTAGCAGACAGGACTTTACATCTTCAAATACTGAAAATAAATTGCATTCTTGGCCCTTGCTTTAAAAGGTTATAGAGAATAAATGCACACCCTGGTAGTGTTCTAGTGATCTCGCTAATCTCAGTTGCACTTTGTCAGAACGAGGTAACTGGTAGTTAAGTGAAATACCCTAGATCAAAGGGGGATTAATCACCAACTGAATCCTTGCTGAATAAACCTGTCATTCAAGAAAATTATTTCCACTGAACTTAGCAGAGGATTGGAGGTATTTGCATAACAGGGACCAACATACTTCAGCCAGGTTAAAAGGTTCAGAATTCATCCCATGTTTAGCTTTTTGCCTCCTTTTCCTTTCAGCAGCCTGGTACAATGGTTTCTAATCTGATAATACAGCTAACTATCTAAATGATGTCAGAACAGGAAAGTATTGCAAAGTTTGGATGAGGGATGGATCAATTTCACTTTCAGTAACTCCTAAATCTGATTTGTTGGAATTTAAGATGTAATCCTAAAAAAGTCCCTTAAACCTGAGGACTGTTTATTAACATCCCTTTTTTGACCTTTGTCTTAGGAACAACTATTCTGCTGTGGTAGCAGTCCCTGCAGAGGTTATGGATGTTAATTCCACCTACCTACCTCCCAGGGGTAGTGTAGGAATCTAAGAATTCTTGTCTATGAAGTATATTTAGATAGTATAAAAACCAGAAGAAAAATATTAGGAGCTTTTACTATGTACAAAATGTCTGCTGTGAAAAAAACCATACAACATATAAAACTATAACAATTTTTAACACAGTTGAAACATTGAATTGGCATGAATAAATTAATTTTGTGAGACAGACATACCTATTTTAATTTTTTAAACAAATAATTCTCGTAAGAATTCTTGACAAGGCTATTTATCTCAAACTTGACAATGAGTCAATTATTTTAAAAAGTGTAAAATACTGTCAGTATATGGGTATTAAAGTTAAAAAAATACTGTTTAATTAAAAAAAAAAAAAAAAAAAAGGAAAAAAGGTTTTTCCAAAACCATGAACCATCTTTTTGAGAGTTCATTCTCAGAAATTTGATACTTTTTCTTTTCATACCTTTTGGGTTTAATGATGAATAATTACCTATGTGATAGACATCAGATTTCATAATCATATTTTGGCACTGAAAGGGAACTTAGCAATTTTGCATCTAGAGCAGGTCTGACACCATCCAAATCTTTCACTGGAAGTAGTTGCTCATATTCACTGCAAATGGAAAGTATCTTTCAAGTTAAAAAATGCAAAGAATAGTTATCAAAGAAAATGAATAAAATCCATAGTGAGATAATTTTTTTAGAAAATGATTGAAGTTTTAACCCAAGAAAGGACTCTTAGAGTGTCTTATAGCTTAGAATAAGAACATGTCAATCACGATTAAGCTTCTGGAATCGGAATCCCTTTGAAATGCAGCTGTTTCTTCTTTAATTGTGGCAGCGGACTCTGAAGAAAAGAAAGGTCCAGCCTTAAAGATGAGTAAGGAATACAAAATAGCTCAGGATTAGTTGTGGAGTTCAAAGGTCGCTAATTACACTAAGGAGTTCCCAGACACAGGGAAAACATTAAACAGGTCACCTACCAAACGGGAAACAGACTCTGTCTTCAGAAATTATCCTGAAGTGACAGGTTTCTAGACAAAATCAAAAGCATCATAGTGTGCCCAGCTGATCTCAATGGGATGAAAACATGAGTTGATTTTTAGTTCTGTAATGTTATGTTAGAATGGAATGGCAACAGATGGCTTTAGGTTCCCCATCTCCCCTCTACTTTCAAAGCACTCCCTAGATTTTCCTCAGGTTTCTAGAAATGTCAAATCAAAACTCATCAGTTTTTCTAATTTATTTATGAAGTCTTGCCTCAAAGTTAATATTAACCCAAGTAAAATGTTAAGCTGTTTTTGCATTGATGAGAGATAAATAACTTATGGGGAACAGTATTTTCTTCTTTCAAAGGTAAAGTTTTTACTGCTAATTACCTATGATTATGACAGAATAGCAGGTTAAAGTCTTGGTGAGGCAGTTCTTTCCTTTTCTTTGTTTCTTGGGGTAATTATGAATATAGAACCTTATGCTATGGTAATGTTTTGCAGGAAATGAGGGTTTATAATGAGTAGGACTGATCTTAACTACAAAATCGTATTTAAAATTCTAAGTTTATATGTACTATCCCTTCAAACTATTATAGCTATCTTTTGAGGAGTTAGCAGCTTTTTCTAAGTTTTTTAAGAGATTCATTAAAAAATAGAACCCAGCACACAACTGAACTAAATACTAAACTGTAATGCATATTTTTATAATGCTTCTAATTCTGTTCTGTAAAAAGAATTTTGTCTTGAATTAAGTGCTGAGGATCTGGAGATGTCTTTTTTTTCTTGAATGCTCATTTAAAGCCCAACTTGACATTGAACTGCTCTGAAAACACAATGTGACATTTAGTCATAGAAACAGATAGGAAAAAAAGAATATAGCTAGATAGTTCCTGAAGAAATCAAGAAACTGGGTAACAAGAAAGTAAGAGTGATAAACTTAAAGAAAATATGCTACATAAAATAAAGAGTTATGACCTCTCTACCACAGAAAGGCTTCTTGAATTTTTATCTGAATTCATTAATTAATAAGATTTTATTTTAGTGAAAGATGGAAAAAGCAATATTATGCCTAAATTTGTCTTTAAAAAATTGGATACATATTAAGTGATCACAAAACACGACAGTCATCTTTGGAAGGTATCATGCCCATCTTGATATGCCTACTGACACATCCTAGGCCAAATGCTATTTTGGCAGGCTAACAATACTTAAAAAGTAGCTCTAAAAAAGAAAAGCAAAACAAACAAAAACAGTAGTGGTAGAACGGATAAAGATCTTAAATAGAATTATGCAGATTCTTTATTAGTCAATATGATAGACCTGATTAAAAACAGTACTAACTAAAACAATTTTCTTTTGTCTTCACTGGGTGTTTTTTTCAAGAGATTTATAGTTATTTTTTTTAACCTGGTCTCTGGTACTTTGTAACAGCATGTTGGAATAGGAGCTTAGTACTGAGGTTTAGAGAAGCAAATAGTTTCTTGCAGGTCAATTACTATCCACTGGACTGGGCTGCCTGAAGCTCTGCACTGAGAAGACTGAGCTCTTTCCCAAGAAGGCTTAGTGTAGAAAGAGGGCTGTGATTGATTAGCAATGTCTGCTGCAGGGGTAGGAAGGAACATGTGTGGCACTTTGACCCAGGACTAGTCTAAAATAATCCAAAGTGAATTACTACTTTTGCATGTTCTGAATCACAGTGACATAAAATCAATGGATAACAAAAACTGGAGACATTAACCTTTAAAATACTCCTTCAAACCACAGTAGACTAAAAACATCAAAATGAGTATTTTTATAATTAAATCATTCAATAATTTTTTTTTCAGTAACGGGTTATGTGTATCAACATTAGAAATAACACAGTGATTCTATTTAAGCTGTGTTACCATTATACAAATCCCATTTAAACACGCAACAATTACAGTAACAATGATCCATATGTTATGGGAGCAGGAGCTTTAGAATTCCAGATGTAATAGTCAGAAGAAATTAGTTTCCGTTCTAAAAATAGAAAAAGAGAGGAAAATTAGTGATAAAAACATTTTACGTTAGCAAAAAGTCAACAAGAGAGCAAAGTCATGATTTTTTTTTTTGAAATTGTGGATATGGTCATTTCATGGCAAGTTTGAAATATTCATTTTAATTTCACTTTATCAAAGGGCTTTATTATAACTTTACCACTTTAAAAGCCTATCAATTTTTTCCTGATATTTTCCCTAAGTTCTATTTCTTGTGAATCACTACTTTAACTGCAAAAACATTTTAAAATTTCCTTTATTTTTTTTTTTTTGCAGCACTGGGGTTGAACTTAGGGCCTCATGCTTGCTAGGCAGGCAATCCAACACTTGAACCACTCCACCAGCTTCTCCCCTCCTTGTCCCTTTTTTTAATCACTATCAGAAAAATAAATCAATAACCAACTTTCTAGCAACACTCTAAAGAAGTTACTAGTTTCTTCAAGTTCTGATCTAACTTAAACATTATGTTTAAATAGCTCTGTAACTTTGGACAAATGGCAACTTCTTCAAACTAATTTCTTATGATATGTAACATTGGGATAATAATGTTCATTTGGAGCTAGATGTCTAGCACGTAAATTCTTAAACACCCAAATCATCCTTTTCTATTTTTCTTCTTCATGGTCCTTCTTCATAACAAACAGAATATATACCTTGTCCTTTTCTTGTTTGGTTTAGTTTAAAAGTTTGAGAACCTACTGCCACTGAGGAAACACAGCATACTGTTAAGTGGACAGGCTCCAGCAACAGACTGTGTGAGTTTGAGTCTCAGTTCTGCCAGCTACTAGTTGTCTAATCTCTTTGTTCCATCAGTGCTCCTCGCCCCAAAAAAGAACCAAAGAACTCAGAGCTACAGAATTCTAAGCAATTTTTTCTGAATGGCAGTAACTGTAATTAATTCTGTGTAGTATGACCAGAATAAACCAGTATTAATTCTTTTTTTTTTTGCAGTACTGGGGCTTGAACTCAGGGCCTACACCTTAAGCCACCCCACCAGCCTTTTTTTGTGAAGGGTTTTTTCAAGATAGGGTCTTACAGAACTATTTGCCTGGGCTGGCTTTGAACGATTCTCCTGATCTCTGCCTTCTGAGTAGCTAGGATTACAGGCGTGAGCCAGCAAAGCCCTGCTGAGTTCTCAAGTTCTTTTGAAACATTCAAGTAGAGTGTTGTGCTATCCTGATTTTAGGGATCCTAATCCTTAGTGTAAGCAATAGGTATTTGGGGCTAAGGATGTAGCTCAGTGGAAGAGCACTTACCTAGCATGTACAAGGTCCTGGGTTCAATCCCCAGCCCAGCCAAAAAAACTGCCAAGTCCCAAAATAATGAAACTAAAACCAAACAAATAAAAAAGCCAAAAGGAAAAAACTTATCTAAACATAAGAAATTTTTATAAGTTGGGGCTATTCTCATCTAAATATATATAATGCTTTAGTCTCCTCAATGAGACAAAAAGTTTCTCCTTAGCTTTATCTAACTATACCTCATTCTGAATACTTTTGTAAATATGTACTTGATCTGAATTAAATAATTTGAATTCATTTGTAAATTGCTTTTTATGTTCCTGTATTTTTGTATAAAGTATACACATTTTTTTTTTACAACCAGGAAACGTGCTGAAGTCAGGAAAGCATCTTTCTACTACCTGCTTGTTGGCAGAATAACATTTATTTAACATTTTGTTAAATAACAACAGTTATTATAACATTTATTGATAATATTTGCTAAAAATTATTTAACACTTTTGAGTAACAGTCATAATTTAACATCTATTCAATCTACACTATATGCTAAGCATCATACTAAGTGTTCAATCAATATGATTTCATCACAATCTTTTTTTCTTTTTTCGGTAGTACTGGGGTTTGAACTCAGGCCCTCATGCTTGGTAGGCAGATGCTTTACCACTTGAGCCACTCCAATAGTCCTGTTTTGTGTTGGGTATTTTAGAGATAGGGTCTCATGAACTATTTGCCAGGGGTTGGCTTCAAATTTCAATCCTCCTGATCTCTGTCTCTTGATTAGCTAGGATTATGGGCATGAGCCTCTGGCGCCCAGACTCGTCACAATCTTAAGGTAAGTTAATACTACTATTTCTACTTTATAGATGAGAAAACTAAAACTTCAAGAAGTTCATTGGCCTGTCCAAAGGCACAGAGCCAATCAAATATTGGAGCCAGATTCAAATCTTTATCTGTCCAATACCAAAATCCTGTGCACGATCTCTGAATAAAAGCAAACCCAACTTTATAGTAAGCCCATCCCCTACCCAATCCTTGCTCATTCAGACCTTTATTTTTATTCATTCATTTGCTTTTTATTTATTTGAACTCAGGGCTTTGCACTGGTTAGGCAGGTGCTCTACCACTTGAGACACACCTCCAGCCCCAGACCTTTTTTTTAATTAGAAGGCAGAGGGCAATGTAAAGTTAACAAAATGATAAGCTGGGGTGAATCAAGCCAGAACTTTTATAGATTGGAATTATTCTCCAATCTCCAAATTCAATCCACATTTCAATTTAGGTACTAACAACATACTACCATTTTAATTCCATTACGTTAGTTTGAATGTTTAACTTACGTGCACTGATTTTTGGTTTTCCTGATGCAAAAACTTGAACTGAATGCTGATCCGCATAACATCCAGTAAGTGTATAATCTAAGATTTTAAAATGAAGCTAGGAAAATGAGAGAAGTTTAACACATTGAGGTGATTATTTAGTAAAAATCATGGCCACATTTTACCCTGACACAATTTATTAGACACAGTTTACAAAATCCACAAACATTAAACTTCAATTGTGTACATATGTACAAATACGTATGCACATACTTTTTTCCCTTTGCAATAGGGCTATTTCTTTGTAAAGGTGCCATTTTATGAAGTGCTTAACAGATACCAAGCACTTCACCAACGTGGACTCTCACATGGCATCCTCAGTTTACAGAAGAGGGAAACAAGGTTCAGTGATGGCAGCAATAAGCATGTCTCAGTGCATAAGCAGCAGAGCTGGCATCTGCACTCAGACCTGGCTGACAACAAAAGTTGGGTGTTCTTTCTGCTGTGCTGTCGGGAATATTGTATAGTCTCTCTTATCCCTAGGGCTCTGTGAGTGTGATGTATTTCAGGTCACAATTCTTTGACTGGCAGGAATGTATAGTCCTTCAGAAAAGTACAAGAAGGAAATTACTAAAACAGAAACATAAGTTTATCTCATACTTGGGGGGAATAAATTGCTCTACTTAACTTTCTAGAAAACTGAAATTGAACTTTTATAGAACTGAGTTTAGAAATTTTCCCTTCCTCCATCTAGAAAACCTTTCCAAAATATAATCCACACTCCTGGATTTCATTGACAATGTTGGGTTATCACTAAAAATGCCAATTATTATATTGTGCTATAACAGAGTGAGGCATTAGGCATTTTCTGAAGGCCTGGGGCCAGGGTCACAATCAACATTCTTGTCAACTATGAAAAGGTCTATGTTTTAGGGTTCCAATGTCCTTTTACTGTGGTTCTTCTCATCTCTGTTGCTAATACTCCTGATTTTGCAAGATCCTGGCAACTTTTCTACAATTTTTTTTTTTTAGTGTTGGGGATCAAACCCAGAACTTTGTGCATGCTGGCAAGTACCCTATCACTGAGCACTGCGTCCCCAGCCCTATACTTTTTTCTTCTCTTTTCCCTGTAATTTTCTCCCATTTTGTAACTTTCTCTTTAATTGCCAAATTAACTGATCACATGTGTAGGTTGTAATGCAACATTTTTTCCTGCTGCAACTCAAGTAGTTTACTATCAGTAAAGGACTTGTACTTGCTTATTGGTGTAATTGTGAATGCTAGAAGTTATGTACGGTAAGAATGACTTCCACACGAGTGAGATAATGTAATTCATTCAGTCCATTCAATGACCACAAAAACTCATCATAGGTATTTGATAAGGTATTTGTGATTGGTTACGTGATAGAAATGAAGAGAAAAATCATAATATTTAACCTTGAAGACACACAGTGTGGTAATATCTCGATTTTTTTTCCTGAAAAATCAAGGACTGTTTATAATAGTCTTTGACAAAGATTTACTTGAAGCTCACATAAAAAATCACCAGTGTATTTCTGACTTCACCATAATTGCCTTTCTGGATAGATTTCAAGCTCTCATCTTTGATTTTTTTTGATAGCATTCTATTTTCCTTTCTGATCACTCCTTCAGTTTCTCTTATTGGCTGTTCTGAATCTTTTCCTTATTTTCTCATTTGTTGCTGAACTATTTCTTCTTGTAAATAACTACTAAGTCTACTAAATCCTCTTCTCTTGGGTGTACTAGGCTTTAACTCAGAGTCATGTGCTTCCTGCCTACCAAATGCTAGGCAGCTGCTCTATCACTTGACCATGCCCCAGCCCTTTCTGCTTTGGTTAGTTTTTTGAATAGGGTATTGTGTTTTCCGAGGGCTGGCCTGGATTGTGACAAGCCTTCTATTTTATGCGACCTATGTAGATGCAATGACAGGTATGTGCTTTATTGGTTGAGATGGAGTTCTCATTAACTTTTTGCCTGGCTGGTCTCAAATCATGATCTTCCTGATCTCCACCTCTCAAATATCTGTGATTACAGGTGTAGACCCACTGTGCCTGGTCTCCTACATTCTTATGTACAGCTGATCTCTCTTTTGAGAATCAAGCTTTAGGTTTTTAGCTACCACTAGACACTTACATTGAGATATGTTATTATCAGCAACATATATATAAAGTTTACTCCTTCCCAACTTTCTCCACATCAGTACTTTCATCCAAGTTATGTTTATCCCCTCAGCAAATACTTATGTGCTAGGTACTGCACTGAACATTGGGGATGGGGCGATGACTGAATTGAGATTCACAGTCTCTGCCCTTTTGGAGTTTCATGTCAGTTTAAGCTACATATTACTTTGAACACTGCCATTATTGACTTGTAACTATTTCTTGTTGCTATATTAGTGACCAAGGATTCACCTTCATCATGACTCCTCCAGCAGACTTTTCCTTTTTCTCCCTTTCTACTGACAGCATTCTAGTCAGCATCGACTTCATTAAACTTCATCTGGAATATTAATATAGCTAAAAAATGTTGTCTAGTTTTTTTCACTCACCTTCTTCACCTCCGTTGAAAATTAATGTTCATAAATTATCATTCTTTGAAAGCCCACTCCACTGTACTAGAAAAAGTAAAATGTCTACCAAAGGAATAAAAGATTCAAATCCTCCACATTCCAAACCTAAATGACTTATCCAGTCTTGCATACAACTTCTGCTTCTAGTGCTGGTTCCTAAGTGTGCCTCGTTTACTTTTCTTCATTCTGTTTAGTCATTTTTTTTTTTTTTTTACTAAACATATGTTAGTCAATCTTCATGGCTTCACATTCATGCTTATCAAGATTTTGCCTGAACTCAATCCTTCCTTGATCACTTTGGCCGTAAGTGCTCATTTTTTCCCTTGAGGCACCAAAAGCAGTTAGCACTGGTTAATTATGGACATGCATTACTGAAAACTCCCTAGAGACCAAGGACTGACTACACTTATATTTTTTGAATACAAGTCTTGAATTTGATAACGAAGAGTTGAAGTTTAAGTTGAGTTGTTTAGGTTATATTTAACTATTTGCCTTAAAACTTGAGTATTAAATGAAACAGAAAAATGACTAGTGCTAAACAAAAAAAACTCAAACAAAATTTTTTTTAAAAAAAGGACTTAGCCAGACAAAAAAGTACGTAATTAAAAAATAATGCTGGAAAATATTAAAAATCAACTAGATAAGGGCCTGAGTTATAGCTCAAGTGGTAGAGTACTTACTAGCAAGAATAAGGCCTAAATTCGAAACCCTAGTACCAGGAAAAAAAAAAATCAACTAGATATATGTAATCTACAAAGAAAGAAGTTCCAATGTAGAGAGTCATACAAACATGTTTACCTTTACATAGGCTGTACTGCCTATACAAATCTGGTCAAATGGCTGCTTATTATGGCTCTTAGATCCAAAAGTTACAGTTCCAGAAAGACTAATTTCCATTGATTTAGGGAACTTCTGGCCTAAAAATACAAATATAGAAATCAGTTATTCTAAATTAAGAAGATTCCACAGCAAAAGAAAGAGAAAATCAGTAAACAAAATTTTGCTCACCAATAATCCACACCAATAAGCTTTTCTCTCGAAATACCTCAAGCTGGCCAAAACTAACTTTGTATTCCAAATGTGTAATTGGGCCTCTTAAAAAAAAAAAAAAGAATAGGAAAAACTTATCTCAGATATAAGCTTTGTAAGATTTAAGTCAAATCTTGTTATTGTTACTTAATACAAGGATAGCATAAAAGCAGATCTGTATTCAAAGTTTGCAAAATAGAATGAGTATAAAACTAGGAAAACAACAGAAACCACATAAAACATTTATGGTGATGTTATACATTTCATTATTATTCCTAAAGACAATTACAAAATTATAAATGCTATTAATAGTTGCATGAGTTGATAGAACATTTAAACTATGATTTTTACTATATGTTAATTGGTAATTAATGAACTTAAGAGAACTATGCTGCAATGTAAATTTAAAAGAAGAGCTGATGAGAAAGTAACCTTATGATATAATTGGCTAATAAACCAGGTTGTTGATAGTTAGAATTGACTTGTGTGTGGAGCACAGAGAAATTGAAATAAAGCCAGCAGTAAAATAACGCTTAGGAAGTTAGTTACATTGCTTTAACTTTATAACCTACCAGAAAATTTAACCAGAAAAAATGAAAACATATTTAAAGGCAAATAGATTATTTTATGATCATGTTTTGATTTACAATCAGTATTCATTTGAGCAATGTAAAATTATTTAGATTTTAAAATAAGGTGAAGAACAAAGACAAATTATTGTGTTGCAGTGTGAATACACTAGTGAAGGCAGAAATCACGACATCATGCTATTAATTCCTACCTATTGTAAAAAGGTATGTGAGCTTCGCAGAATTCAAAATTATTTTTCACACTCTCATGAAGTTTTAAATTAACTGTTAATTTTAGTTGTACTTCTTCTTCTTTCATTTGATAAAAACCTAAAATAGGTGGGACAGGGACCTGAAAACAAACATGAATTTTTATTTAATTCTTAGGTTAATGGATCTGAAATACCAATGGTGATTTAAAACAAAAAAGGAAAAAGAAAAAAAAAAGGCCTTGGAGTAATACACATTACATTGTACACATGTATACATTATATATATATATATAAAATAGGCAGATTATATATGTATCATAAATATACCAAATCATTATTTACAGATCTGCTTTAATGAATAGAGAGCAACTCTAAGTTATTTGATAATAGCAACGATAGATCTACATTCATTCCAAGGGGAAGAAACTCTTCTCTTTGTTCCCACAGATGAGAAAGGTGCCTTACAAATGTGTATAGTATATTCTGTTCCTCCTCCTGCTCTCCATGTTCTCTTCCTCCAAGTTCTCAGAATTGCAGAACGGAGCATGTACTATACATACTAATGATTGCCGCTCTGTCCCTTACTGCTCTCCCTCCCCTTTCACAAGCCCTTAGTTCTGGAGCAGTTTACTTGATTGTCATCAATCATTGATTGAAGGGGAATAATCTGTAGGCTAATGCAAGTCAATCATTCCTATTGGTACATTTGAAAGTAAGATAAGATTCTTTTTTATAGTGTAGATCCTAGAACTGTAAGGTCATGTGCAAGCAGAGAAACCCAGCTGAAGGAGAAGACTGAAAAGCAAAGATGAGACAATGTGGACCTTGTGTACAGAGAGATTTGAATTTTCTAGTTCTAGTCCCAGTGAGGCCTAGGTCTACTTCTTTTCTTCAATGATAATGAGATTGCTTGTTTATTTCTCAAAATAAATTTCTTCTACTTAAGCTGATGTGCATAGGATTTTCTAACCTACTGACTGGCAACCAGGACAAGAAACAAATGATCTGGTATAGTAGAAAACATGGGGCTTTGGGAGTCTGGAAAATCTGGGGTCAAATCCAAGCTCTATCCTTTATCAGTAGTATGACCTTATTGAAGTCATTTAACTTCTCTGAGGCCTTTCCTCATCTGCAAAATGGGGATAATACCTACCTTAAGATTTATTGAAAGTACTAGAGAAAAATATACATAAAGTGCCTAGGACAATGTCTGATACACAGCATTTATTCAATAAACAATAAATACCTATGAATAATACTATATATTTGTAACTAAGCTTTCCTGGGAATAGAGTTATTTCATGGTTATAGTTAAAATCATGACTAACTCATACAAAGATCTATCAGGGATTATTAAAAAGAAAAACTCACTGACTTTGAAACCTATGTAATGCTGCTACAGACACCAGAGATAAGTGGTAGCTTATTCAAAGAACTGAATCTTCATCTTTATTCATCAAATACTGTGTCTGGTAAATAACTCATGAAATGTAAAGTTTTCATTTGGACCAAGAGTACAAATGATTTGCTTATCAACAGCATTTAAAAATACATCAGTGAAGCCTCAATGTTTGTTTACCTGGGAAGTATAGTAGCATAAGTTGAATGACTCCAAAGGTGGGCTGAATGGAAATTTATAGGGCCCACTAAATGCAGAATCATCCATTGCATCAATGCTACTAGAAGTCAGAATGGCAGAATCGAGAGAAGTCACACAAGGATGAACTAGAATATCTTGAAGTGGTGATCCATTGGTGGGAAGACTCAAGCTGATGGTAACATTTGGCATGATTCCTTCCAAATCACACTATAATACAAGCAGAAACAACATTGCCAAGAACTCCCAAGCACTCACCTTCTGTGTGAGGCTTTTATCAAAGCAATTTTCCCCAACTGAACTTGTTTCTCTCTAGGTGTTATTCTCTTTGCCTTCTGTTTTCTGATTAATGGTTTTATCACACTCTTAGATACCTAAGCCATTGACCAGAGAGGCTTCACAGACTGCTTTGTTTATCTATGCTGCTTAAAAATAGTTTAACTCCATTCCCTTCTCTCCATTCCTTTTGCAGACATGTTTGTACAGGCCTTGTTAGTTCTCTAAATACATCTGACTTGCTTCCTTCTAGTCAATCCATTTTCCAATGTCAGAGCTATCTCAATGAACTGCAATTTTTATTACATTGCATCAATACTGAAAACATTTCAATGGCTCCTCTTCAATTTTGACGCCCATCTAACTCTTTCATCTTTTTTCCCCCAGAACAACTCACAGGAAAACTCTTTATTCTGTTACCCTGTGACTTACATGCTGTAGGCAAACAAGAATCTTGCATTTCCCTGAATAATTTGTTCTATGTAATGCCACCATATGCACCTTTGTATGGACTAGTTCTTTCAGCTATGTTCTTTCCTCTCTATAAACTCTTTCTTTCATGTGAGCTTATCTGATGATTTCTGTAAGCTTTACATTCTGCATCGTCACCTCTACAGCCTATACCTGCCATGTGTAGATGCCCAGTGTATTTTTCCCTGTGTGACTTGGGTTAGTTTGCAAGTGGGAGGTTCTCAGGAGAGATGTGGAAGGGAGAAGGGAAAGGAAAGCCATTATTCTTAGGAGGTAACAGTTTCACTTTTCCTTGGGCTCCTATGTTAAGGCCTTCAGCAGCACTTTCAAAGCTCTCCTTCAATTCCTACTTTGAGGCTGTAATAGACATGGCAGCTTCTCAGATCAGACTTCTTTGTGAACTCTGTTTCTGGAAGGCTGCAATCAGAGTAGAAAAGACTTATTCTTTCAACTCTTCTTATACTTGAGAAGTCCTAACATCTTTACTCCCATAAATCTGGTAGCAGATTTGGTAGTGGCCTTTTCTGACTCAACCAGACCAACAAACCTTATTGTGCCTGTGTGGGTGGATAGTTAGGGTCTTTCTTTGTATGTCTGTCTTTGTATCTCTCTCTGTCTCTCTCTCTCTCTCTCTCAGAAGGGCCAGGCAGTACTGGGATTTGAACTGAAGGTCTAAGGTGCTCTACCACCTGAGTCAAACCCTGAGCCCCTTTTGCTCTTAGGATATTTTTCAGATTTTGCTTAGGCTGGCCTCAAACTGTGATCCTCCTACTTATGCCTCCCGCATAGCTGAGATTACAGAAGTGTACCTCCATCCTTAGCTTGTTCTTTGACACCAACTTTTTTGCTCAGGCTGGCCTTGAACTGTGATTGTCTTACCTCTGAATCCCAAGTAGTTGAGATTACAGGCATGAGCTACCAAGCTCATGACATTTACCTCTTTAATTGCTAGATCAAACTGACCAATTGAGCCATGTAAGGCTTACCAATATCTTTTGTTTGGCTAAACCTACAAGAAATTTTGAGTTAGTGGGACATAGCAGGCAAAATGCTTTGCTCCAATTGCACTTCATATACAAAGTCTACACCATACACTGGCTATCTACCAACATAAGCAATTGGTCTATACCTGTGTTTCCCTCTTGAAGCTGTAAGTTCTTTAAGCAAGAAGTGTTCTATATTTCTTCATATCTCTAGTGCTTACTACACTGCTAAGCACAGGGAATACTCAAAAACTGTTTGTGGAAGGTTTTTTTTTCCTTAATAATGTATGCTACCCTCTTTTTCAATACTGGTAAGAAATGTTTCACTTTTTAATGTTTTATCTACCACACTTAACACGTGTATATTCATTAACATATCAGCTGTACATGTAAACACTTAAGAGAACAGGCAGGCATTATGAACCATATATATAATTAGTACCTTAGTAAGGTCTTTTGGTGACAATTATAATAGTATTAATCACAAATAAAAATGTAGGATATTGTATTTCAGTTTTTAAACTATCTGCTACTTTATTGTCTTTGTGTGCAGCAGTAAGAATAAAGTAGCTTTGTTTTTTGATATTTATGGAGATAATATAGGTAAACATTTAATAATTTAGTACTATTAAAATTTAAAAATATTCATTTTATGCTTATTAAATTTTTCTCTAGCAGTCTAACATTCTTTTTCTTAAAGACGTTTATATTTTATATATTTCTTTGGTGGTATTGGGGTTTGACCTCAGGGCCTTGCACTTGCTAGGCAGGTAGTTTACCACTTGAGCCATGCCTCCTAGACCTGCAGTTTAGCATTTCTAACTGGGTTAACAGCTGCACTATGGAAACTTCCAATAAATTTCTCAGTATCCAGGCACTTATAATACCAGATCAGCCATTTACTATAGGAGAGACTAGGCATTCTCGAAGGAATTTGTGTATTACCCTTTAAACTAGACTACCATATGCAAATCTGGACCTTAGTACTAGGAATTATAAAAACAGAAGGCACCTAAGACCTTATGTCATTTTAAAAATGAGAAAAGATTCACAAAGTTGTGTGACTTTTTCAAGGTCCCAAAGAAAATTAATGGCAGATTAAGGACTAGAACTTTGGTTCAAATGCACTATCATACACACAGTGCGTTTCCTTCCTTCCTTCCTTCCTTTTCTTTTTTCTTTCCTTCCTTCTTCCCTCCCTCCCTCCTTTCCTGTCTTTCCTTTTTTTTCTCTTTCTTTCCTTCTCCTTCCTCCCTTTCCTCTTGTGCTAGGACTAAATCTAGGTCCTCATGACCTGGCAAACACTCTACCACTGAAATGCATTCCCAGCTCAAGTTCACTGACTTTCAATTAACCAGATGTTCTACTATATGAGGATAATTATCTATTTCCATTTACAATGGGCTTCATAATAAAACTTGCAAATATTAGGCTCCTGAAGTACTTACAAATGCTTAGCTAACAGTCACACTACTTACACATAACCCTAAACATTTAGTGTGTAGGTTAAGGATATTCCTATCCTTTTTTCCAATTTTTTTTTTTAAAGAAGAAAGTTCTCCATTATGATAATCTGTATTAGGACTAAGAATAGGAATCAATCCAAAATTCCCACAAGCCATAAACGAGGGCCATTTATCAATGGTCGAAAACATTTAAGCATATTAATTAGCATTATATTATATAAAACATACTGCCTGTATTGACATACGATGAAAAAACAGAAATGGCAAATTTTCCGACCTTTTGACTGTATGAAAAAAAGAGATTCAACTACTTTAACACTTATGAATGACATAATCCATAAATTTAGAGCAGTTTATGATAGTTCTTTCTGGTAGAATGAATAAATGGAATGTATGTTTTTTTGGCTGTACTGGGGTTGGAATGTACTTTTGATCATAGAAGTTTAACACAGACAAAACCTTTTAGGCCATTTTAATTATGATTACAAAGGAAAAGAAAAGAAAGAAAACCCAGTTTCCCTGTCAGAACTGTTCTAATTCTTTGGTCTCAAAACCTATTTTTAGCCATAGGATTTACACATAGTCACTCAATATTAAATTTGATAAACAAAAAGTTTACATTCAGAGTGCATGAATAAATAAACAAGTAAATAACAAAAGAAAGCAAAATAGAGTGCACAGAATAAAGTAAGATAGAAACGGGGTACTATTAACACATATTTACTAAGAAGACTTTTATTTTTGTCATTATTTAACACGGCATTAATCACTGCTAACTCTATTGACATTTCTACTGTTTTTCCTATTTTCTAACCATAAGCCAGATAACCCTATATTAACCTATTGACTTGTTTACATAAAACAAGAGCCCTTCAAAAGGATTTTAGGTATCCTGTCAGAGGATCTGCCAATTTCACCCCATTGAGAAAATGAACGTGAGGTGATTTAAAAATATGCTCACAAATTCTCTGATACTACTCTTTTCAAAAGGTAGATCTAATTCCACAAGTCTTGAATGTGACTAGACTTAATGACTTGCTTCTTATTGAACAGAAAGTAGAAGTGATGCCATGTGACTTTTCAGTCTAAGTAATAAAAAGAATAGCTTCTCACTCAACTTCCTTTCCTCTCATCCTTTTCCCTTACGCTATGTGACCTGAGGGAAATCAGTCACCATTGTACAGCCTGGAGAGAAGTTCATGTGGAAAGGAACTGAAGCCTCCCTCCATGTGAGTGAGTCATCTTGCAAGTAGATCTTTCAGCCCCAGCCTGAGTCAGATGACTAAAGCCCCAACCAAAATCTTCACTTGTGTGACTGTGATCTTAAGAGGAACTTCACAGTAGAAGTTCCCAGCTAAGTTTCTCCTGAAGTTCTGACCTACAGAAACTATGAGGATGTTTGTTTTAGAGTAATGGGATAATTCATTACACAGAAATAGTTAACTAAAATAATTGGCAAGATGAAAAAAGGCACATTATAAAATGTCATGACTTAACATATAATGACTGCTGCTAAAGATAAAAATCAAGATGTCATTTAACAATGTAAAATATAGTTTGTGAAATTACTTTTCTTCATATGCTAAACGGTATGATAAAGTAAATATCTGAGAAAATCTCACCTTGCAAGTGACTGTTCCAACAACTTGCCACGTATCTGCTATATCCTGTTTATCATACTGCATGGATTTTACCTTTTCAGTGATAGAAACAGAAACTTGTGGTTTTCCTCTGTATGTTCCAGCTCTCCAGGCTGGCTGTTTCTGTGGCTGAGTCACAGAAGCAACGTTAGTGTTATCCAATGAATGCTGTAAGTTAGCATCTAATAAAGTACCAAATGGACAAGCCTGTAGAAGCAAGTCGGGCAACTGACTCAATTTTGTATTTAGCTCAGTGTCATTTTTTTGACCAGCGTAAAGAAAATCCTGTATCCCAAAAAGAAGTTCCAAGCCTTGAGAAATTCCACTAATGCTAATTAATGGTGGACGAGGGGAAAGAGTTTGTTCAACTAGTGGAACGCTAGCAAATATCATGCCATTACTCTGAAAAGCAATAACTGGCCAGAGTTCTTCACCTCCTGCTGAAAGTCCATAGATGGATGTTTTATTGATGTGTGAACAACTATCTCGATTCCCCACAAAGTCCTTATCATCATCCAATAATCTAAGTTCAAAGAGTAGTGCTTTAAGAAAGGGACCATCTTCGGGAACTGGCACATAACTTGCTCCATTGAAAACTCTGGCTCGTTTTTCAACAGTAGGATATCGTCTGCATTAGGGAAACAAAAACATTCCAAAGAAGAAAAAAAAGAATTAAAAAACAAACAATTCTAAAACACAAAGCAAACAACAGTAACAATAAAATATACAACATAAAAATACATACACCCAGAAAAGTTAAAACCCCAAAATATTTTAAGTTCCTACTACAGTTAACTGTTTGATCCTCAGGATGTTGTCTCAACTGATAAACTGCCATCTGTTATTGCAAATGATTAATTCAATTTAGTTCTTTAATTTTTTTAAAGAGGTAGAGTATATGATCCTAATTCAAGATCTTATTTCTCAGCCTCTTGGAGTTCCTCTTGGTAGGCACAGAGAATATATCTGGATGTTTTGGGCATCTGGATTTATTTTTTTCTTTTGATTTCATTTAAGAAGAGTATAATCATTGTAACTCTCTAAAATTTTGGATTCTCTAGTTGTGATGAATACAATTTTAAAAGATCAGAAACATACCTGGTTAAAACAATGTTTGTCACTAGTACCATACTGATGCTTGCTAATAATTTTAAAAATAAGAATGTATTCAAAGTTATTGGTTTATGAGTGCACTGCCCTTATTTAAAGTCTGATATATTTTTCTGTTGAGAAAGGGGAGGAATTAATTAACACACCATTAGTGATATGTCTTTATTTTTCCTTTTTGGTGGTACTAGGGTTTGAACTCAGGGCCTTGAGCTTGTTAGGCAGGCATTCTACCACTTGAGCCATGCCTCTAGCCCTTTTTATTGTGGTTTTGGACATTAGGTGTCGTTTTTTATGCAGGCCAGTCTGGGCTGCAAAACTCCTATTTTATGTTTCCCACTGTAGCTGAGATGATCTGCTACCATGCCCAGCCTTTTCTGTTCAGATGGGGGCCTCACAAACTTTTTTGTTGGGGCTGGCTCAGAACCCAGATTCTCCTGATCTAAACCTTCTTCATAGCTGGGATGACAGGCACATACCACCAGTCCCAATATTGGTTGAGATGGGGTCTTGTGAACACCCCCCCGCCCCCGCCCCGTTCTGGCCTCCAATCACAATCTTCCAGATCTCAGCCTTCCAAGTACCTAGGATTACAGGATTGAGCCACAGGCTGCCAGTTTAGTGACCTGTCTTATTTTCTAGTTATCTGGACAATAGAATTAAGAGTAAAAATTTCACAGTTGAATGTAAAGGTAAGGAGTTAATATGAGATTTTAAATGAGGTCTCAGTATATGCTGAATAAGTATTTTGTTGGATGACTAGACCTGTCATTTCAAATTTATTCTAGTGTTCCCCTGCCCCAAACAGAAGTCTAGCCTTAAATGGCCTTACAACTATGGGATAAATACCAACTTAAGCCAGCATTAATCTGAAACTGTTACTATCTGGACAGGAAATACTTAAACCAGATCTAAACAAAGTTTGGTTTTGCAAAGATAACTTGCTTCTTAAATCTTAAATGATGGATATTATAATTTTGCTTACATGTAAATACCACTCCCAAGAGGTCAGAAATCTGAAAACAATGAAACCTCACTAATTCGTTCAATAATACAGAATCAAACTGACAACTGAATTATGTGAACCCAACTTTCTGCCTCTCTATGAGAGATGTTGAGAAGGTCACCCAAGCATATTTAAATTCTTGTTCTAAAATATTATGTGCAAACTAGGAACACATTCTGACAGCTGTAAAAAGTGTCTGTGAGATATTAAGATAGGCTACAAAGCCACAGAGATAAAAACAGCATGGTTTTGTACAAAAAAGACAAAGCAATAAAACTGAGACAGAGCAATGTTTACAAGGGAGAACATAAATTATCAATACCCGAAAACCAATGAGGAGAAGATGTAAAGCTTAGATGATGATGTTAGGAAAACTGGCACATGGCATAGGAAAAAACAAAGTGAGATTTCTATTTAATGTCTCTCCAAAGTGTAATTCAGATGGATTAAAGATCTAAATATAATAATAAAATTATACAGTTAAAAGACAACAATGTGGAAAGATGTATTTGGAATATAAAGGTAGGGAATGACTTCAATAAATTCCTAAAAGTGCTACTTTTTATTTTGGTGGTGGTACTGAGGTTTGAAATAAATGTGTACTGTGACTACATCAAAATTAGTGAGTTAAGGGTAACATAAAATTAATTAACAAAGATGAATTAAAAACAAATATCTGTAATATCTAAAAATGACATGCACTGATATAAAAAATATATAACAAACTCCTACAAAACAACAGGGAAAAACAGCAACATTCAAAGAAAAAAAGGATAAAAGGTATGTATAGGCAATTCACTGAAGAGGATGCAAAGGACTAACAAATACTGTTACACAAACAAATACAAGTAAAAATTAGATATCCTTTATTGGCAAAAATTAGAACAAGTGTCAGGAAAGAACAAAGATACAGGAATCCTCATTAACTGCTGATCAGTGTGTTCATGGGTGTAATTAGTATTCTGAGGGGCTAATTATTTGCAAGTATTTAGTTGAAATCAGCATAGATATTAAGTCCTATGGACTTAATTGAGGATGTCTACTTTAGCACTGTTCTCATGGCTGGTGGGGGGGCAACTTGGTAGATCATCAGGAGGGAAAGGCAACAGGTAAAATGGGCAGCAAGGAAACTCCGGAGTAATACCAAACAGGTAGAAGCAATGGTAAAGATCTGCAGAGTCCAACATGGTAGACATAAAAAAGTGGTATTTAAGCTTAAAATTAACAACTGAGTTCCTCAGCTACGTTAGCCACAGTTTAAAAACTCAACAGCCGCCTGTGCTTACTATAATGTTTGTCCAGCATAGATTTAGAACATTTCTCCTTTCCATCGCCATAGAAAATTCTATTTGGATAGTGCTGCTCTACATGAACACAAAGTAACATGGATGATTTTTAGAAACAGAGTTGAGAAATCTGACAAATGTATGAGAAGGGAGTGAGCTCTAAAGCACATTACTTATGTAAGTTGGAAAATGCATATACAAGTATATACAAATAAAAGGACTGCATAGAACATGTAAGAGTAAATGGCAGGTAAGAAACAGGCAACCAAAGGGAGTATCAAAGAAAAATGAGCGATTCCTCGAATGAATCACTGAGGCTGGCGAACCATAGACTAAAGAACATTATTAACTCCTGTGCCTGAGGCCCAACAACAAATGCAGCCAGGTATCCTGGGAGAAAATGATTAACTCCAATTCTGATGCCCACAGTAACAAAACAGTTAAGGTTGAAAAGGGAACTTTTCATACCTGCACTGTCAATCATTTTACAGTTAAAATTACACTCATCTTTATTTGCCTCAATCTCACTTTCACTATGCTATTCCATCTTAGAGCTTCCCTCAGGGAATAACAAATTGTTTGTAAAAAGAAGAGAAAGAGGGAAGGGGAAGAGAAGGAAGGGGGAGGGAAGGTGGGAAGGAAGGAATGGACGAAGGGAGAAAAAAAAAAGAACTGTCCATGGCCACTGAGAATAAAAGATGACATAGGTTACTTAACTGCCACTCACATTTTACAAGTTATCACATAGTTCTCTTTATAGAGCTATTTTGATAAAATATGGCAAATTCTAAAAGTGGGAGCAATCACACTAGCAGAGAAAAAAAGTGAATGCAATTTATTTTCTCGTACTTCTTCCTATTTTCTTCAAACCGTGACTGTAAACGACGGTGATTTCCAGCAATCACATATTGTTAAGATATAGTATAATAACAATATTTCTCAGCCAGGAGTTTTTCGTTAAAACGTCCTCGAATGACTTTATCAGTAAAGGCCGAAAATCTGGAACATACTTAGTGCTAAGTCACCCTGCATCAGCCCTAAGCAGATGGAGATGATTTTAAGGTAAAATAACACAAATGCTAGAAAGCATGCAACTCTTAATACGTGCTAGGCAACAACTCACTTAATTCTCACAACACTGCAAGGCACGGTTTTATCAAAATCTCCATCTCGTAGACACAACGATAGTGAAGTAACTTGCCCGGATCCCTCAGCCACCCATGGCAGAGGTGGGATCTAATGCACGGGAAGAGCACGCTCCATCACCCATCCGCTGACCCACCCTCCCTGCGTTTACCTGGAGAACCTGATGGTGCCACCGAGTGGGGTCCCCAGTTCTTGGCGTATGAGCCAGACTGCCCTCAGTGCCATGGCTACAACATCAGCTCATCTCAGAGCCAAGGTCGCCGCCGAGCAACCGCGCAGGGAGGCTTTCTCATCCTGCACGCACACGGGATCATCGGAGAAGCTAAATCCTTCAGGTGAGGTGACGAAAACCTCCTGGTCCACACATATCGCACCCACCGGTCTAAGAATCCGCACCCAGAACCTTGAGACGCTTTCTTACCGCCCACAACGCTAGCACTTTCTTCCTCCAAGGCTACTTCCGGGATGGTGGCCGGCAAGGACCAAGGTCCCTCACGTTGAGGAGCACGCAGTCTCGCGGCGGCCCGCTCGCTGCTCACTCAGCTTGCCCGCCCCTCGCGAGGTTTCCCCGGCGCGCGCAGCTCCACTTCCGGCGTGTGAGGCGGCGACAATGGGAGCGGCGCGGGCGGCGCCGGGAGGCAGCTGACAGGCGTCTGCGGCTTTGCTTCATGGCCGCTCTCCCGCCCTGCTTGGGCTCTGTGACTAGGGGAGCCCGTGGTGGCCCGGAGCCGGAGCGGGGGACCTGGGCACGGCGCCGCTGAGGCGCAGCATGTGAAGAGGAGACGGCATCCAGCGCGGGGCGAACCTCTCAGCTGGCCGGGATGGCTACGACGGCCGAGCTCTTCGAGGTGGGTCCCGCGGGGGCTGCTCAGGGAGTGGCAGGCCCCGGGGTGCGGAGGAGCGGCTTCCAACCACCAGCTTTCCCTGGGGAAGCCGGTGGGAGAAAGGGGTGCGAAAGCCGGGGCTGGGGTGGGGTGGCGGCTGGTGTCAGCGCGGGCGGAGTGTGAAGGGGGGAGGGGTGGCTGGGGCCGAGGTGGGCAGGTCGCCGGCGGGGGGACGCCGGTGTCCCGGAGGAGGAGCATTGGCTCTGCCCGCGGGGGCGACAGGGGAGTCCCGAGGTTCGAGTGTTGGGAGGCGTCTGCTCGGGATGGGCGGCGGGAAGGGCTGACTCAGGACGGGGAGACACCAGGGAGCCTCAGGTTGGGCGAGCCCTGTCTTGTCACGTGCGTCCGCGACAGTATTCTCAGAGCCGCCTGAGATGGGGACTTCTGATGTTGGGCCAGTAGTGACATTAGCAAATGTTAGAAGTGGCACTCCGGTGACACAGGCTTGGAAAGACTGGGAGGGATTTTTTTTTTTCTTAGGACAATAAAGGCCTACTAAGCCCTAAGACGGAAGGGAAGCAAAATTAAAATGAACGGATGTGTTTGGATCTTAAGGAATTTGTTATAAAAAACACCTAACTGCAGGCTGGAGAATCCTTAACGTGTGATTGGCAGTGAGCAGTACTGTGGTGTATTTCCTTGAGCGTTTTCAATATCTTAACCTGAAAATTTAATGTCGTGAAGTCCACTGTTAAGAAGCTGTGATGTCTGAGATGCTTGAATGGGACCACAAAACAGAGAAACCAAGTATCACCTTTTGTGAAAGAAGTGAAAGCGGAGATAAGAAGAAAAAGGGAGGAAAGACCCTTTTTTGTGATTGTTTCATATTGAGTAACAGAAGTATAAATTGTAGAAAACACAACAGTTCAAGATCGAGCATTTCTATATAAGTGAAAGTTACATCCTTTTTTGACCTAAGATTCAGTAGGTTTTGTGACTTGAATTTTAAATACCACAGCTTTCATAACAAATGGAATTTTTTATTGTTACTTTTGTTAGTTACTACATCTTCTTGGCTTTCAGTCATCCCTTGTATGGACAACGCTTCTGCTAAGAGAAATAACATGTCAATGTTATGATAAATTATAGTGAAACAGTAATTTGTGAGTGAAGGATTGTAATTACGCTTAAGATGTAAGATATATTTATTGCATTTTCTCAGATTTAAGTGTTGGGAGATATATTACATTCATATCCCTAATCGCAAAATCCTGCCATCTGTTTATTGACACTGGAGCAGGCGACATTCTTCTTGCTCTGAACTTTTACTGTATGTCCCTGGGCAAGATAATAGGTAGTTCTGTAGTTCCTTGTTTTATTTTTTTACATCTTATAAAGGTAGAAAACTTTAGGAAGTTATTTGAGATCTTTAATGAATTTCTTGACAAGAAGGCTTACTTGTCAAATTTAAAAAGTTAACTGAAAACTTTTATATTGTCATATAGTTCATAAGACATTATGTTTTGAATTCATGAATCCTCTTTGACCTTTACAGTTGTGTCTTGGGTCATATTAGCTATACTTTTTCTTTAAATGTGTGACCACAGGAGTCCAATAACTTGTTTGAAAATGAATTTGATTTCCCCAGGGACAAGAGAAGAGATGGAAAAATACATATATTTTGCTCTCAAGGGTGTCGCCATTAAGTAAAATAGTTAAACCAAATTGGGGTTTAACTTAGCGATTGTAGTTCCATAGTAGCTGGGACCATTCAATGATGATAAAGATAGTGCTTAAGCATTTATGGGCCTTAACTCAGGTAACATTTTTTTTCTAGTCCTGTGTAGCTTATTCATCAAAATTAAAAGCATAATAGTAGTTACAATTAAATATTAGTTAACTTTAAATAAGAAGTATATTTATGTTTTCCTGAATGGCTATGAGTCCAGCCCTACAATAGACTCTGCTCTTTAATAAGTTTTCATCCCTAGGTGAAAAGGTAACCTCTTTGCTTTAGAGAGAGGAAGAGAAAGAAGAAAAAGCCCTGTCTGTTGCCATTTCCTGCAGCTGTTGCCATAGATCTAGGTTGTAGGATAAGTCAAGGAGTGTCTTTTTCTCCTGCTTCCCTTTCATAGTCACAGCTGGACAACTGTGGAAAACAAGACAGGATGTAGTCAAGGGTATTTTGTTTTTGTGCATCCTGGTTTTCACGTACTATTAAAAAGAACTGTGCTTTCATTTTTCCACATTGGAGATGAGAAGTTAAATGGAAACAGAATTAAACTTTGAATCCATGTAATTTCGCTGTTAACTCTGCATCTTTTAAAATCTTTTTCTTGGTTCTATAATTCTACCCTTTTGAATATAGACAACTGCATACAACATAAACTGTAGGATATTTCCTCAGTTGACAGAAATTATTTATTAATAGATATCTCAGTTATTGCAATAATGTATAACGTGGAAATTGCTCAGAATACCTTCTTAGTTTCAACCCTTGTTGACAGATCTTTCGGCAAGGATCAACTGTAGTGTTTTTAAATGATCAACTCAGGATGGACTTTCTAAACAGATTCTGTGTATTAAGATGGCTTGGGAGGGGCTAGAGGAGTGACTTAAGTGGTAGAGTGGCTGCCTAGCAAGCATGACATCCTGAGTTCAAATTCCAGTTCCACAAAACAGTCTTGGATGATAAATTTTTTTATTTGCACTACTGAAGACACTTTCTTATTTGCTAATGTTCTCATATCATTCTTAAAGGGTCTTTTTTGCTAGGCAGGCTACCTTTCTGGGACAGTTCTTTTATTAGTAGCTAGAGTCAGTTATTCATTCAGCAAATATTTTTGAGTACCTATTAAGTTCCAGATAATGTGCTAAGATTAATGAGGTAGTATGTCTCAAAGGGCTCTCCATAGAAAATTCATTTATGTATTTACTCTATCTTAGGCCAGACATTATTCCTGGTACTGGAGTTAAATGAGGGTGAATTAAAATTACAGTTGGGGCAGGCACATGTGTTAGCTGATAACAGTGAAATGGGAGGACAGAATCTCTTCCTGGGATAATTAGGAAAGGCTTCATGTAGTAATGGCATGTAAATTGGGTGTTGATGGATGAGTAGAAACGTCTCAAGCAGGAGAAAGGCATTCCAAGGCACAGAAAACAATGCCAATTTGTAAGGTGAAGTATGTTTAGGGAATATTGATAAGAGACAGAATGTGTCCATGAATGTTTTAGGACTAGGGAGTAGTGGCTTGTGGAAAGATATTGAGGCTGTGAGTTTGAGGAAGTTTTGAGAAGGTTTTTTGTAGAACATGCTTGAAGGGGCTGACTTGATTTTTTTAGGAGGTTCTGGTGAGGCAGATTATTTTAATGTTACAATGGCCTTTAATTGGGAAGAGATTGTGAACTGGGAAAATAGGCGTCATGGGCAGTCTGGATAGTTCTTGTCATTTAGGGATTGTTCTAGAGTTGTCTGCTGATTGATTAATTTAGGTAGGTGAAACCCTAACCTAATTTAATGGGGACAGAAAGACAGGAAATTTGGGAAGACACTTGGAGGAAGAATGAAAATAATTTGGTTACTAAGAGTTAATTCTAAGTGTGTGAACTTTGAAAAATAGGTGGTTGATGATGTACTAACTGTAGCAGAAAAAAATGGGACAACCCTTTCGGGGAGAAGGAATAATGTACTCATTTTTTAAAAGCATGTATTAAGTTTTTTGCAGGATATTCTGATGAAGAGGTCCAAAAGGCAGTTGTAAATATGAATTACTAACTCAGAAAGAGATTATAGTGGGTAGCAATCTAGAAATTGTTTTATGGGGATGACTATTTAGACCTGGGGATGGATGACATCTCTCAGCTCTACTCTTCAATAGTTGTGTGATCTTGAACAAGTTACCTAACATCTTTGTGCCTCAGTTTATTCATTTGGAAAATAATTGTTTCTGTATCAGAAGGTTATTTCAAAGATTATCCTAAGTTGATAAACTGCTTAGAAGAATGTAATTAAAAGAGTGGTTGCTATTTTTTAAAATTAAGTGGTAGCCACTTTCAACTTAAGTGAATTAAGAAGACAAAATTGAGCATCTATCAGGGAGGAAAAGCTTTTCAAAGCAGACTGAAAAATGATTCTAGAGATAGGAGACTACAGAAGGAGAGAATTATGAAAAGGGACTGTGGAAGATTATATTTTTCAGGATCTCTACAAGATCTGTCATCCCACAGTGTGACTGAACTCATCCCATGGAGAGGTAGAGTCTGTGCTTCTTTCTTCACTCTAGATACTTATAACTACAGCAGAAGTGATGTTATGTAGTAATTTCTAGGGTTGATGTCATAAAAGGTACATGTTTGGTCCATTTCTGATACTCTCAGAATCCAGCAGCCCTTACAAAGAACCAAGGCCCTTAGCTCTCAGCTTTTGCTGAAGTTTCAGCAGGGAGTAAATACCAATTTGCCATCCCATGTCATAGGGAGCAGAGATTAGATTTCCTAGCTGAGCTCTGCCCAAGTTGCAGATTTGTGAACAAAATAATGATTATTGTTATTTTAAGACATTGAGTTTAGGGGTGGTTGTTAGGCAGTGATGGATAACTGGAATAGAGGCTGATCATCTTCTTACCTACATCAATGTCTAATAAAGGCTTCTACTAGTCTTTGTAGAGGTAGAATCAGATGATTAAGAGTTACAGATTTACATGTAAGTATTTTATCCCCTGAGTTCTCCAGTCAAAACTTGGAAGTGAACTTTTGGAGAGAGCAAGTCCTTAAATTGAAGACAGTTTTATAGACTGCATGTATGTGTATAATTAGTGTAAAATACTGAATCCCTAGTGCTCTTGAAAAATTAAGTAGTTGTGTGAAAGATTGATTTGCCCTGTTCTTTTAGTAGTGGATTGCAGTTTTATACAGCACTCACCCTGTAACCAAACTTCCCACAAATTAAATGAAAATTCTAACTAGTTGAATGGCATATAATTGAAAAGTTTTGATTGTTAAAAATTTATGTTTGGCTAAGA